TGGAGCACTGGGGAAGGAGGGTGCCCCGGGTAGACTGGCCTGGGGGGAGCCCCTGGGACCAGCCCTTGTTCCTTGTCCCTCCAGGAGCTCCTAGTCCCTGGTAGTGTCACTGTAGGGTTGAGACATGGCTGGAGATGGGGTTTATCCCAGCAGGGATAAGCCTCATGGAAGGGGGACGTGGTCCCTGGTGGGGGCTCAGTGCCAGGGGTGTCATGGATGGGACGCGGTGATGCGGGTGCCTGCAGCCAGCGTGGATGGGACACAGCAGAGACGGCCCCGTTCCGGCCACCGACAGAGTAAATGTCATTTTATTTCACACCTGAAATAAAACCATGTAAAAAAGAAAAGGTGAGTGGAGATTTAATTGCTCATATTAAAAGTCTACCAGGTGAGACCGAGCCGTTCCCACCAGTCAGCGCAGGTCTGCAGGGATGGTTGTTCCTCCTGCTCGGGATGAGGATGAGGACAGGGACACCTTGGACGGGGGGTGACATTGCCCCTTGTCCCCTGCCCGGGTCCATCCTGCCCAGCCCCAGCACCCGATTGTGCTTGTGTCCAGTGGGTGCTGATCTGGGAGGAGGGGTGCACCGGGCATGGCCTCGGGCTGCTTTTATCTCTCTTTATTTTGCATTTTGGTGTATTTCTCACTGTCCCTTTTCCCTCTGTACATGAGCGGTATGGTCATGGCATCGGTGACACGGTGATGTGTGCAGGGTCGCTCACTGCAGCAGCGCCCGGATCTGTTTGGATGTGGTGTCGTCATTGAGGTGCCGAGTGGTGTACCTGGACAGAGAGGGGACAGTCACCCCACGGCACCCTGACCTGCTCTGCCGCTGTCCCCCTGCACCATGGGGGGATCCCCTGGCCCCCGGCTCACCTCAGAGCATTCAGGAGCCCCTCGGTGCTTGTTGAGGGTTGGTCTTTCAAGACTTTGATGCAGCCTTTCATCTGGTGGGGGGAGCGAGAGAGGCTGTGAGAGCCTGAATGTGCCACGAGGGGCTGGTCCCCTTCCTCCCCATCCTCCTCCTCTCTGAGTTCCCCCCAGGAGCAGCTTAGAAACATCCCCATAGGGATCATCCAGGGAGAGGGACCCCTGGCATCACACCTACACTGGGATGAGCAGGGTGGCAGTGACCCCCCTGGTGCACCCCATTGCCACTCACGTCAATCTTGGAGGTCTTTGCAAAAGCCCCCACGGGGTGGACGTGGTCGTAGAGGATGATGACCCCAACCATCACCCGCATGCAGAAGAGGAGGGTCTCGGTGTTGGTGAAGCGGCTCCGGTATTCTCTGTGCCAGGAGAGGGGCCAGCTGAGCCCAGGGTGGGTGGCAGAAGGGACCCCAGCACCCAGATGTGCCCCCCGACCCCTGCGGGGTACTCCCGGGGTCTCCAGCATCACCCTGCAGACACAGGCCATGGTGCTCAGGCAGTCGGTCGTGTCCTCAATTGGCAGCGTCTTGTTCTGAAACCCAACAGGTCCTGGATGCTGCTTCCCCTCCTGGCTCACCATGGGACCCCCAGCACCATCTGATCCCCATGTGGTGCTGGGGCTGGGCTGCCCCCCCCCGAGGGTCCCCCCTGACCTCGCTCACCTCAGAAACGAACTTGGTGGTGGCGTTGCTGAGTGTTTTGAGCATGGGGGTGGCCTCGGCATAGAAAAGGGACATCCTGTTGGCCATCTCGTTGTTCACCTCACTCTCGGCGTCAAGCTGCGGGGGGGGATGAGGGGTGTTGGGGAGGTAGGACCCCCCTGAGCCATCCCCTGTCCTGGGACACCCCTCACCTGCAGGTTGTTAATGCGATTTCGGCTGATGGTCCTTCTGTAGTAGCTGAAGTCATTCTGGATGGCAGGGTTGGTCATCTGTGGAGGGGAGCCACATGTGAGGGGCCATGGCCAGAGCCTGGGGGGAGCCTCAGGAGTCCCAAGGGGCTCGTGGGGTTTGAATGGGGGACCC